GTCTCCCTCTTCACTAATTTCTTCTTTTCATTTCTTTTTCACAAAAATCCTACTGGTTTTGAACCAGGGATCTTGTGAACACTAAGCTGATGTCTTACCCCAAGACCACCAGCTCCACTGAAATTTATTTACTTTTATCTTCCTCTTATGCTACATCTTCGGTTATAAATCCAGAAAAATCAATTAACTTACTTCCTAAATCACAAAACTATACTTGGTTTCGAACCTTCCAACTCTTCTTCACTATGCCGGTGTTTTACCAATAGGCCACCAATGGCACGGAAATTTTAGACATTTAATCTTCCTCTTAAGTTACATGTTGCTCTGTAATTAAATAAAAATCTCATTACAAAAATACTTCTGTTTTCGAACCACGGTCCTTATATTTACAACGCGGGTGCCTTACCGCTAGACCACCAGACCATGTATTCTGTAGCATTCTGCGATCGTCCTTATATTGTAGAATTTGGTTTATAGCTGCAGAAAAATCATATTCATTTATTCACTTTTCAATTTCTATTGACAAAAGACAGTGGTCTAGAACCCAGTACCTTCCCACTACTACGCCATTGTCTTACCCACGTACCACCAGATCTATACAGATTTGTTACCTTCACGTTCCTTATATAGTACCACTTGCTTCCTACATGTACAAATTTCTTACATTCTTTTTTTTTCACAAAAATAATCATGTCTTCCAACCACATAACTTCTAAACCATACACCTTACCTCTAAACCACCGGCCACCCTTGATATTACTCAGCTATTTGACAACTACTGCGGCTGTCTTAATATGATAAAACATTTACAATTAGTTTGTTAAAATTTTTGTTGCAAATCGTAAACGAAGTTGGTTCATGTCATTTTTTATTATTTCTTCTCTTGAAGGAGGCCAAATGTGTACCACCTTGTAGTTCTGTTGTTTTTGAGAAGAAGATTCTTTAATGTCATCCTGTAGGTGTTTGCGCCCTGCTACTAGTCACATTGGATGGAACTGTTTAACCTCTTATGATATTGTGTAAGATTTGAGGTTTTCACGGTGGTGACTATGAAGAAAGCAGTCTTCTGGTATTTTGCACCCTGTATATGTGGTGTTAACTGACGTTTCGGAGGAACATATCGCCTCCATCTTCACGGTAGAAGGAAAAATATAAGAAATCCGCAGGCGAAGAGACTGTGAGAACCGGTAAAAGCAGACTGGTGTTGTTATGATAGTGTGACGTGTTGTGCTATGGAGGACACCCCCCTTCCTCCCCAGCGGTGACTTGGCATCGGAGCGCTGTCGTTACTACAACAACAGGAAAGTCAACACCCCTTCCCCTACCCCGCCAGCGGTGACATAACACTTTCGGAGCGTTGCCGTTGCTACAGTAATATGCCAGTCAGCACCCTTTCCTCACGGTGATGTTACATGGGATGCTGCAGTTGCTACATAGTCGTAAACAACTGCCAGCAGCGAAGCACAGCAATGCCAGTAAACACGCTACTAGGCAACAAGGAAGCAAGGCGTTTTCCTGTTGTCCGGCTGAGGGTTTATAAGAGAACTACAATGCCTACGAAGTCAGTTGAAATGTAGTAGCCGCCGAAGACAGTCGGAATCTAGCCAGCAGTGAGCCGTTAGAAGTGAGTTAAAGTGTAGCAGCCTATGAAGCGAGTTAAAGTGTAGCAGCCTACAAAGCGAATTGAAATGTAGCCATCGCTGGTGACAGTTGAGTGGGAATCTAGCAGCGGTAGTGGAAAGAAGAATACCCGAACGTGTGATTAGAAGTGATAGTGTGAGAAGCAGATGCTTGGCTCACGTGAGAAGTGATTGGGAGCGTGACACAGTGATACTGGTATAGCTCCCGTATCATACTGTGAATACGTATAGACTACTGAGGACAGTGTGAAGAGATCTGTGTGTAGGGTTTGTAAAGTGTGGAAACCCATAACATTGTTATAATTAATTGTAGCTGAGACTTGTAGGGTGTTAAATAAACCAATTAACAATCTGAACGGCGTCTTTAGTGGCAAAACACATTACAATATTGTTAGTGTGACAGACCAGAATGAAACAAATCAAGAAATGGTCATACTTGTCCAGCTTATAGTGTTTGCAGGCAATGCATTGGGTAGGGCCCTTGCCATAGCATCCCTGTGAGTCACATTCAGGATCACAGTTATGAAGGACTTTCTTGCTGCTGTCAACTCCTGTCCCCAGAAGATTCTCTTGAAGAGAGCGATCTTTATTTGCAGCATCGTTCAGTGTGGACACCGATGCTTCAGGGTCACTTCCTGATATGCTGTATATATTTGGGAAGTTCTGAAAGCTGGGATTGAAGGAACTGCCACTGTAGTAAGCATTTGAATCCAATGTAGGAGAAGCAGATGGCGACTGGGAATTAGGAAAGACAAAGGGATTTTGTGAAGCAGTCTGCTGAGGCAGTCCTGAGAGTCCTGATGAGGAACTAGAAGGCCGTAAGCGGATTGGATTTGTTGCTGTGCCATAGAATATCAACTGCCACTTCTTTAGAATACCTGGAACACATGAAAAAGAAGTGAGCCTGTTCTACTAGTAATATGATAAAAGAGAAGGGAAGCAAAATCTCTGTATCTGCATGAAGAGGTTTCGCATTCACCTACAAATTATCTGTTATAACATTTTCTTGAATGACTGGCTGGCTGCACATGCTTCCTTTTGTTTGTCTTTTTAAATCTCACAGATATTCCTTGGGCCAAGCAACTGATGGCACACTACAATTGTGTCTCTGACTCTGTTCCCAGGAAGGTGTGTTGCATATGTGGAAGTGAGGGTATTTTTATAATTGTGTACTATATTTTCTATTCCTTGGGCATCTTAAATATTCTTTCTAGGCTGTGGACCGGCTCACACCCGACACATAGACTAAACAAATGTGTGTGTGTGTATTCTCCTCCCCTTCCACATATGTGAGAAGGACTGAACCCAGACTGACTGGGGTATAAGGGCAGACTGCAGCTTGGAGGTGAAGGCGAGACACAGTTGTCACAAGGGGTGAGGCCGCAGTCCTGCTCATCTAGCCCTTGTGACAACTCGAATCCAACTCTGTGTCTCGCCTTCACCTCCAAGCTGCAGTCTGCCCTTGTACCCCAGTCAGTCTGGGTTCAGTCTTTCTCACATATGTGGAAGGGGAGGAGAACACACACACACACACACATTTGTTTAGTCTATGCGTTGGTTGCGAGCTGGTCCACAGCTTGGAAAGAATATTTAAGATGCCCAAGAACACAGAGAGTCAGATCGAGTTGCCACAAGGGCTAGACGAGCAGGATTGTGGCCTCACAACTTGTAGGGAATATTTAAAGTGCCCGCCTAATTCTATGTACTTCGTCAAACATTTCTTATTCTTACAATATAGCACTGTTAAATCCAATTGCTTGTTGTTGTCTGTTCATTTAACCCCACCCCCATACAGAGAATTGCTCACTGCTCGGTGAACCTGAGTATCCCTGAAATACTGGGATACAACAGGTGTGATTATGGCTGATTCTATGATGCACTTACTATTATCCTCAAACAAGAAGTCAGCAAATGCAAGTAGAACTAGTTGACTTTGATCTTTCTACTGTTCATTTGCTGACACATTGAGTTTAGCTTAATACTAGTAGTGACAAGAGCTGTCCATAATTTATGCCAATGTTTTCAGGCTGCACAGTACATGCAGTCTGGCTTTGGCAATTGCCTCACCTTCTCTTTGTTGGGGAATAGTACTTCATAAAGCCACTGCTAATTTATGTTTAGCTTAGTGACAGCTATGGCATTATTCTGCATTAGGAATTCTGCAGTTTGGGAATAGTATACACACATGTGCAGGCATGTGCACACACACTCATACACAGACAGAAAGAGTTAAACAAGTAACTTATTCATTTACAATTTATATTATGGTCCAAATATTAAAAATTTATGAAACCCATATGTAGCCTAAATATGTAAATATCCATGAACTCCAGCTCACTAAGTCAGTCTCTTCACAAATAATATAATTTCTAAGAAATGTACAATTGAGAATTTTCTAGCCATGACTTTTAGTTCCTGCTGGCTCAGAAACCTTCACTCCCCTATAAAATATGACGTTTTCCTTAATGTGACCATCAGGTGGCTTCCTGTCTCCTAGTCTAACTAGAAAATGATCATCAGAATTCAATTCAATAAATACAACATCAGTGCCAAACATTTCAACACTGCTGCCAACTAGTAACACACCTGGCTGGTTCACATGTCGATTTCCAGCATTTACAATCTGAAGTGTCCATCTTCCCTCAGCTTTCTCGCCCCAGTAATGAACACTGAGGAATGGCCAATCATCAATATTTGAACTAACAACATCTCTTGGCCGTTCAAAGAGCAAAACTGATGTGGTGCCCATTGGAGATGTTAGAAGAATGCGCAGATTGCCACGTGGGAAGAAACGCAGTGAGATCTTACACTGAACATGTTCAAGGAAACGTACTTCATTTAAGGTATCACTACAGCCATTGACATCCATGTGAACTTGAAGTGTGGACCCATAGGCAGGATCTATTTGCCTGTTAGAGAAGAGAAATATATTACAGATTATAAAAAATTAGAGTGGAAGCCTTAATTCCAAATTTTATCGACAACTTTAAGTATATCACATCAAATGTCCTCTAAGCTGGTGTTTTAACAGGTTTCTCATGCAATGAAGTTTTGTCCATAATTTAGTTTACACTGTGTTAGTTCCCAAATTCTAATTAGAATTAAAATACTAAACATACTTACTTAGTATTACTTAGTATTTTACTTAGCTGGAAAAAGTGTTTTACAACTAGCGACTTTTTCCTTTCCTTTGAGTGACACATCTGTTTGTCTTTTTGCATAGTGTCTCCTGAGGTAAGTCAGTTATAAATACTTTTCTATCTGCCACACACTGACAAGAAACTTATGACAACTTAAATTGTTTCATATGCCATTGTATACAATTTGAAATTGTGAATGATTAATGGGCTGTGATGTCTCTTTGAGTTTAATACCAAATAAAGGCATTGACTTTTACATTGTAAATAAATATATATGATATATTTGAATCTCTTAGTAATAATTATAGACAGAGAGAATACCGGTCCTTGTGAAAATATACTGCTATTTTACTGATCTGTGAACTGAAAAGATTGTAAATATATGCAGGATGTCCCAGGAGGAAAGGAAAATATTCTGGAAAGTCACAGTATTGGTCATTCTAAGCAAAAAACTGTATATGTACATGTGTCCTATTCCAAACGGTTTCCGAGATAGAGCTATTCCACTGTACAGTTACAAAACTGTTGATAAGAAAGAGATATTACATAATGTTTCTAATACTGGTATATATCATTCTAGTGATAAAGTTTGTACAGTTTACTTTGTATAATTCATTTTCAAAAATTCTACTGTCAACATCAGTGCATTTTGCAACTCATGTGAGGACATGGCATGTTGCTCATCTGTACAGTGTATGGTGTACTGTACAGTGAACTAGCTCTATCTTGGAAACCGCTTGGAATAGGGTATTTCCTCCTGGGACATTCTGTATAAAGTACACTTCACAGGCTTATTCCATGGAAGTAATTGCGAATTAAATAATTAATAAAATGATTTCTTATTATAAACATAATATGGGGATCTATGGATTGTGTATGAATAGAGATTGCTTGCTTTTACTTTTACTGATATATTTTATAACCCACTGATATATTGGGTTTTCGGACTTTATCCATCATCCTGGTTTTTTTAAGATAACTAATGAAAACACGACGTTTCGGAAACTGGATCTGTTTCCGTCCTCAGGTGAGGGAAAACACCTATTCTGTTGGGTCCGTTAGAAAGAGCTAGCCTCAATCACTGGACAGTGTGTGTGTGTGTGTTTTTGCATGTTTGACTGTATTATATAATGTTAACATGTAATAGGTGAGACAAATCAGTGATTAAAAAAAACAGTGAACCAAACAGAATATGTGCAAAGAAAATATCATGATGTAAGAATAATGTAAGCAACTCATATTACCGTTCTTCATTTATTTCTTGAGACTTGCATATATGTTGTGGTGGGACATTTGTCCACTGTTCTGCTAGGCTGACCATTGCACCTGCATCCATTAGGCCGTACCCAAACTTGTGACTCACTGTGAAGATAACAGAATATAGGTAGCAGGTCCCAGTTTTTGAGAACTAGGTTGTATTCTGTGCAGAGCAATCTATGAAAACACAGTGTAATTTGGATGTACAAATGTAGCTGTACTTTTAAGATTTGTAAGAAATTTCTAAACTTCACTACAGATGGTGCTGGTACATTCATGTCTATCATGACATTGGCACAAATATAATTACCCACAAACTTAGTGAGGATATATTCTTCCCTCTCTGAATTCAATAATTAATAATAAATTCTGGGAAGAACAAACTGCCTATTTTCCTTTCTCCTGCTTACATTCTTTTGGGTGTTATACTTCATCTTATCTCTTTGGTCTGCCTCGATGTATTAGGTATATGTTCAGAGTAGACAATATTGCCTGCCAAGAAAAAACGGAGGTCTATCTAGAGAAGATGAAACTTAATCTAGGAGAAAAGTTGGCTCTAGTGAAGCAGCAGAACATTCCTAACGAAGAGGCCGCAATTCACTCTCTAAGGACATGCCGAAAAGAGCCAATGGCCTGCCAAGCAACAACTGAGGCACATCTGGAATGTGAGGAGCCAACCTCAGTGGACATGGAATCTGAGTTGGAACATCAGGTGGTCCCTGAGGAAGATGCCGTAGGGAAACCGGTTGTAGGATGGAGGAAGCAGCGTAAGGACTGGAGTCTGGCTGTGGAGCACCGCCAGAAGCCGAAGGAAAGGACCTGGGGATATTGTGGATCCCAGAAGAGAGTGACTGTTGCTGGCAGGAGGATGACCCGCTGTGCATGAGTGACATGGCTCAGGAGAAATGTCATCAGGAAAGATCAGACCAAGAAGCAGGTGGAACGAGGAACCCCTAAAGGACGGACGTTCAGGAAGAAATCTTGGCCGAAACTGGAAAGCATAAAAGTAATAAGGATCCGAGGCTCAAAGAATATCTGAGAAGTGAGAGGACATCTGGGAGAATCTTCGGGAAGATCTTCAGGCTGGATAATGTGAAGTGAACAGCCGGATCTTCTGTTGTGTTACTGAAAATCAATAACTGGACATTGTGGAAAGTTTGGCCACCTCCAAAACGTTTGAAGAACCTACTCACATAGTTAGCATAGGAGAAGCTGGAGATGCAGGAGCACTGACCACTCTGGATACTTTCGCCCCCACAATTGGAACGACAAAAGGACAGTAAAGGGTTGATGCTGGACACATGGATTAGCCATAACCTTATCAGGGTACCATTCAGGATGAGCACACTTAGGAGAGAGTGGTGGTAGCAGTGGAATAATGAACATCACAAGGAGAAAAAACCAGGATAATGATGGCAAGGCCAACTGCAGACAGTGAAAGCACAACCCTTGGGAAGAAAGGATTGTCCTCAACTGTAAAGAGCATGCAACTCTTCTCTTATCAGCAAAAAACGAAAATGGCAGTTGCTATAAACCACTTTTTTATTCACCAACTTAAATAATTTTTTAAATTACGATTCATCACAATTTTTTAATGTAAATTGTTTGATTTATTACATGTATTACATACTACAAACCATATGGTAGGCTATCACAGACCACAAATTTAGAAACATTGTTCTACAAGATATAAAATGGATAGGAAAGAGCTGACAACGAAATGGAAAACAGAAAATGTGGAAAGGCCTAAGAATCTAGACATTTTCCATCCATTGACTGGTATTAAAACAGACATGTACTTACCATCTCACTGACTGGAAGTATGAATCAGAAAAGGCTGCTTTCAGTTTATATGAAAATATGACTTAAAATATTCACTCTATCTCCATAAATGATCAAAGAATGTTACGTACATTAGTGGAGTTGAAACACCAAGAGTTATGCTCTCTAATTGTATCGAGTATATGCTTTGGATACAATCTTCTAGCATTTAATACAAGCAGAATTTCATGTCATTCACCTTAGATATGATTACTGTCCTTGTCAGTACCATAGTGTACCTGTATAGCACACTTTAATGTACGAACAACACTCAAATTATGAAATAAAATTTACTGATGTAATTAAACAGATGAAGCATTGGGGGGCAAGGATTTGAACTGCATTCAAAAACTTTCCTGCAGGTTATTCAAGGATACTTTCAGTATTGAGACTACACAGTGTCCAATGATGAGATGACTGATGAACTGGAAAGGATTTGGAAGGAAGCTGTTGCTTCCTAATTAGGGTACTATCTCAGAATTTTCCTGGAGAGACTGAGTAATACCACATAGAAATCTTAGCCAGAATAGCTAATGTCCCTATTGAGATTCAAACTGAGAACCTACTGAGTCCAGAGTACTACCTCTAGATCAACCTGTCAGCACATCCAAAAACACCACCATTTTACTTGTATATAATAATACAAATTCCACCGTCAATGCCACTATTATTAACTTGTGTGTCACTACATGTTTCAATCCTTATAGGGTCATCCTCATGTGTTGTGATTTACATATTTTCATCACTGAATTGTAAAGCATGCATTCATATTTACATACATAGGCTTAAAATGACTACTTTCTATGTACATTTATATTCTAACTGATAGATACTAGCACAGACCATGCAGCAAAGCACACCACATAAACTATACTACACAGCAACAGTAATAATCGACATCCTCGTAATAAGAGAGAAGATAAACTCGTGCTCAAGAAAGTTCACACAAACGAATATAGACAATAATAGAAGAATAAGATGAAAAATGCGTGGCCTACAATAGCAACAGACACTAAGCTGAATACAGCATATAACACTTTTAAATTAATTTTAAAAATTAGTAAAATTAAACTAATTTTTAATTTTTAACTTTTATTTCAATATATATCTTGTATTTAAATCAACATCTAGCTGTTAGAATATAAATTTACATAGAAAGTAGTCATTTTAAGCCTGTGTGTGTAAGTATGTAGTATACATGCTTTACAATTCAGTAATGAAAATGTGTAAATCACAACACCTGAGGCTGACCCTATAGGGGTTGAAACATGTAATGGAACATAAGTTAATAAATTACTGTTGCATTGACGGAGGAATTTGTATTATTAGTTATACTCACGCAACAGGATGCAGCAGTAAAAATAAAAAATTACTTGTACATAGCTTTAACAGCAGTGGCTATTGCACACAGAACTGACATGAGTACAAAGTAAATATCTCTATCAGGTCTGTGGTAGGAAACTGGAAGCAGATAGCAAAGTTCGCTCTACTCATCAGAAGAACAAGGTGATGAAGCCTGGGAACCTTCTACAAAAACTATGCCTTTTTTCCCTCTCCACAGTACAGTTTCTCTCTTTCCCAGACTTTTGGCTTTCACCTACTCTTCTAATCTATTTTCTAACCCCTTCCCCCTCCATTTTCAGCCTACTTTCCTTTCTTGAAAAAGAAATAAAAGTAGGCTTATGAGATCATCTTGGTGTCTCTGTATCTATCTCTGTCTGTCCATCTGTCTGTGCATCCCCACTAATCCTTTGTTAGGAGGCTTATGAGATCACTCTGCTGTGTCCCCTCCCAAATTTTTTAGGAGTCTTATGGGATCACCTTTCTGGCTGTGTGCCCCCCCCCCCTAATTTTTTGGGCTTATGTGACTGCTTGCTATCTACACCTTCCAATCATTTCTAGGCAAAGGACCATCTGTCCCCACCCACAAATTTTTCTGTCTTCTGTGAGGTCCGTGTCATATTAAAGGAAAGTAAGTGATTAGTTCTTCCCAGAACTTCTTGTTTACATATCAGATCCTGAGTTATGAACCTTCTAAGTTAAAGAAACTACCTCACCTTTCCGTTTGACACCATTTAGAACCCATCCTGCCTCTTTCTCTAGTGGAGTAGAACGAGATGACAGAACAACCAGATACTGCATATCTCGCCATGTCAGTCCTGAATTTGCTTCCAGAGCCAGGGCTGAAATCCCAGCTGCCAGAGGTGCTGATGCAGATGTACCTTAAATGCAAATGGTATTTTCTAGATGTTGCAAACTTGGACTGCTTTTACTCTCTTTTCTTTTAAGATCTGAGATGTGATTGAACAATTCTGTGAGCTCATTTAAAGCTCTCTCTTAAGCCATGATAAAACTTACAGAACACTATTTTTTCATTGGGTGTTTGTGAATTTAAGGATTAATTTACAGCTCCATCTGTGAAAAAGATTTTAGTACTTGTTCCAACTGCCTCAATGTAACCTCCAAGTATCAAACACATTCCATACATGTGAATTACAAAAGTAAGTTACACTTCTTTGCCAGAGAAATTGTTACTTCCCTTGTTCATAACACGATATATAGCAGCTAACATTTTAAAGAAGGAATTAAAGTTACATAATTTCTAGAAGAAAGATTGGGAATGAGGGCTCAAATCACATTGAAAAACACTATCGTAGTACCTGTGAACTGCTATATCACAATGGCTATCATACATGTTGGCAAGAGTTTGGAGAAAAACACATAACATGCTTCAATGTTGTCTATCAGATTCACAGCAGAATATAGACAAAAGTGACAAGAAAGTTGCATTTTTATATGCTATATGTTAGATATAATGCTCTCTGGATAGCATTGAAAAGCATGGGGTGATATTTGGTCATACCTGTATGCTCAACAGTACAGATGTGATCTGGCCGCAGCTTGCCATCCATATCCACAGTGGCAACACTCTTATCATGTCCAGGAGTGCCAGAACTGTATGTGGTGGCCAGAGTTGAGGAGCATTCCTCCAGGTACCAGGGTTTGTATCTGCATATAAACATGCCAGTCAATATCATTCTCATCAGCCACAAATAAATGTACAAGGATATATGTCATCACATGAAAGTAACATGATATGATTTTAAATTCCGTGACTGGAAATTTTAATGTAGATCCTATTTCGGAGTAACAGAACCATGGACAAGTAGATACAGGCTGTATTGCTGAGGTTTTTGAGACCTTTGCTATCTCAGTCATTGCATTGTTTAAGATGGCAAAAGTAAGGGTCTTCAAAGGGCCGCACCATAGCTCAAGTCGTTAGTCGCTGGCTTCCCACCATGGTGGCCCGGGTTCTATCCCGGGTCTAGTCAAGTGGGATTTGTGGTGGACAAAGTGGCACTGGGGCAGGTTTTCTCTGAGTACTTTCATTTCGCCTGCCAATCATCATTCCACCAATTGCTCCACAATCACCATCATCTGGGGCTGGTACAATAGGCCAGAAGTGGCCACAGTACAAGGGACTTAGTCCCATCCCACTAGCAATAAGAAAAAGGGTCTACAAAACATTAGCAATACAGTCTAAACTTTAACTTTGCCTTGAAGATGGATACTATAAGAATATCCAACATGCTGGGTAACATACCTTATATCTACTCTGTGCCATCATCCAGAAACAGAGCTACATTAGCATCAAACCACTGTGAAGGCTTGAATTCATCTATTACTACTTTTATATAACTTTGTATGAGTATTCAAACCGCAAATGAGCTCAAGAAGGAATCAATATGTTAAATAGTATTCAAGGGCTGCAATTTCTACAACATTGTGGTTAAAAATCACACCAGCAAAGTGATATATCTTGGTGTGTAAAACCATACAATCAAAGAGTGAAAGGGGTGTAAAGATAAAACATCATGCATTGTAAATTTTAGCAGTAGATGGAGATCAGTAGTCAGTTTCATGCTATGGGTGCCCCCTGGGGAAATGACCTCCACTCCTCCTTGGATAGAAAGCTGTGTGGCCACCAGAGTTTGTCTAGTCTTTGTGGTGAAGAGAAAACACTTTATTCTTGAAAATTTTTACATGCCCATAGCACTGACTGCTCAGGCTATAGTTTTCTGGGTCATGACACCGTGCAGTCTTGTATCCATCTACAAGACTACATAGTGTCACATTCCAGAAGATCATGATCTAAGAAAAATTCTTTGTCTCTGATGGGAACTGAAGTCCAGTCACTTTATTGACTGAGTTCTACTGGATTGTTAGAAATCATTCACATTAGAGAGAGTTTTGAGTGAGGAAGATAGAAGTGGGAAGAAAAACCTAAATATCAAACCCATATTCTGTCTCACACTTTCAGCATGTGTGACTGATGCTTGTTCTGAACTACACAGACAGAAGACAGACAAGATATAGAACTAAAGGGACAGGTAAACATGACTATTATTTTGGGCAAAGTCCTAAATTTTTCAGTGTTTCAGAAACTGGATATCTTGTACATCAAGTGTAAGAAAGGAAAGGTTCCTACTCAGCTGTGCCCTGTAGAGAGCTAGTGGATGTTCAACTAAGCAGGAAGAAACCTTTCTTTCCTTATACCTGATGATGGCAACAGATCCAGTTTCTGAAACACTGTATCTGAAAAACCTTAGAACCATCAATGTTGAAAATAAGAGTCATGATTACTGTTGTGGGAGCCTCCCACAGTGAAGCAAGTGCTACCCAATCAGCATTCACCATGGCAGCTCCAATCGCCTACCAATAGTATTCCGCATACTGGATCACGTTAAACTTAGGAATCTTTCGGAACCCATTGAAAAATTTACAGATTGGGAGTGGTTTCAAAGCCTCGTGTCTGAGTTAATATCACCTAAACTAGAAATTAAGTCGGGGGTAGAAGCCGATAAAGCGGCACGCGACTTTGCAGCCTCTATTGCTTCGGCATATAGGTTCTTTACAAGTAAAGTTACACTTCCGGACATAAACAACGATCTTCCTGGTCTAGATCGTTTGATAAAATATAAACAGAGGCTACGAAAACTGTGGCAAGAAACCAGGGATTCAGCATGTAAAACAGCAGTTAATTGGGTCATGAAGTCAATCATGTGAATGACCTGTAAAAAGGCACTTAAATGGTGGGAAACAAAAAAGGTATCACTGAATTCACACCTCAGGGTATATGGCCCATTGCAAAATCCCTCTTAAAGAGGGATGGATGAAGGGCACCAACTGCTATTCATGGTTCATCACGCCTTAAATTTCATCCATCCGAGAAAGCCAACACAATTGCTCATTGTTTGGGAATTCAGTTCACACCACATGATTTGTGTGATGGAAGAGAGCTCAGGCTACCCTGCTATGAAGGGAGTTTTCGCTGGTATTCATCGGGCATGCTCTACTTCCCTACTCGTCTGTAATATTTATTTTAAAAGCAGTAAACGTCTGTTGTAGTTTTACGTGCTTGTCTCTCAGCGCCACTGGATTAGACATCCCACACTGTAATACACCAGCAGACAGCTTAATTGGATAAGAAGTGGAACTCTCCGTCTGCTCTGCTCATGTGGTTATTTATCAGTTTCTGTACGCTAACAAGTTTACCACACACTGGTGTTTTATTTATTTATCTTCTGTGTGTTCAAGGTTCCTTTTATGTAAATTGCTCCCATCCAGTTTTTAAAACATGAAGCTCATACAGTTTTAATTTTTCAGATTAAATTATGTGTCTCATACTTACCCTCCCTGCGTGGCACTGGATATGGACAGAGTAAAGATGCTGTTAGTGTAACCATCACAATTACAGGAATCCGTGTGCCGTCCACCATTGCCAGATGCCCACACAAATATTGAGCCCTTTCCTTTACGGCCCTGAAATATTAACAGAAGCAACTTATACATGTATACCTTTGACAGAAATTCCATTTATTATGAATTCAAGTAGATTTACATAAAGAAGAAATAAAGATATTCTAATCTGAGTCTTACAATTATTTTTCTCTTTACAAAACAGATAAAATGCTTGGATTTACTATCACTTTCATTGGAAGAACATTAATTTCTTCAGACAGCTTTTACTATTATAAGATGGAACTAGTTATAACCCACACCGTAACATGCTCTCACAGTGAAACCCCAGTGGGCCACAACATAAAAGAGACACACAGCACTTTTTGTTAGTTCTAATAAATCTGAATGTTCCATATCACATCTGAGACCTTCATAGTGGTGAAACCATGCAAGCCAGCTCAAGCCGTAATCCTTCCAGCTTGTGTTTGAGAGGTGGCTGGTTCAAATCTCTGCCAAGACACTGACTATCATGACTTACATTTTCATGGTTTTCATTCATCCCTCCAGTAAATTTGTGGGACAGTATGTTAAAATTAGGACATGACCACTTCCTTCCACATCCCTTGTAATTCATTTTGATCCAATCATTTGACATTATATCATGTCAATTACATATAGCATTGTTAAGCTACAAATATGCAACTAAATAAACAAAAATAAATGAAGATATGAGGAAATAAATAAAGGAAATATTAGCTTAGATTCATAATGTGATGTCCTGGGATATGATACCATGTAGTTTGGCAGGTGGTTACAAATGTTTCAGAGGAATGTACTATCTCCAGCTTCAAATAGAAATCACTTGTGACCCCAAAATGGTGACAGTATATTTATTATTAAAACATTACTAACCCCCAGGGCTGGAATCGGCAGTAGATGCCAGCAGATGCCATCTACAGAGTTCAGAGTATTTCATTTTCAGGAAGTAACTGTGATACCTCAGCATGTCAAAACTGTAGTTTCCAGTAACAATATACATGTACGAATGAGTTCACCAGCTTATACTGTAATAATTTCTTTTTATTATGGTGGCCATTCCCTGAGTTTTTTACTGATCAGGAGCATATACTCAGTAATGAGAAGACATTTTCACTCCTGCTACACCAGACTACAAGGTGTCATAACAAGAAGACCACAATATGAATATTCTGGCATATAAATAATGTATAAATAATGTATACACGTTATGAATTATGACATGTCTGCATAGCTCATTGCTCTCAAACCCAGAAGAGATTCAAGATAAGTTTATATTATAAACCTGTGGCAGATAGTTATTTTTGGTGCTGGAAAACATCACCAGGTTTGATGAATTTTATGAGCTACAAATCTTCATCAGTGCTTTCAGTAAGAGCTTGTGAAGGAAGAGTGTAAACCTACAGTAAAAAGTAAAGGTATCCCTGTAGCAGGCCATGGAGGCTCATAGGGTTCTGAGATGTTGAGGTTCCCACATTTTCTAGACAATTGGCTCATAGATGGTGGTAAGGCCATCAGCTCTACGCACTGGCTGCCCTTTACCCCCAAGAATATTCCAAGAATATTCCTGGTACTCATTTCTGTTAGAGGCTGAGTCGACCCCAGGGCCATAGTGCTGCTGAAAGGATTAGGTAAATTGCAAAAAACCCAATGACCTCTTTGGGACTTGAACCTGTGACCTCCTAGCTTGTAGCATAGTGCCTTAACCAAGTACACTACCACATGCCCCACTGTGTAAATCTATACGCTATTAAACACACATTTATTTGCATAACGGTTCAAGTCAAGTGAGTATGTGGCTTGTCAGTTTCATGTCATAAATACAATAAGATTATAACTGACCCCACAAGTTGACACACTTAGCATGAGAATACCCTGTTGTACAGGAGCTGTGCAAGAGCACAGCAAAAACTAAATGGCAACAATCTGGTGCAGCCTGATCTTATGGATGACATGATTCACAAGCCTTTTCCCCCCCCCCTTTTCCTCTCAACGAAAATAAATTATGCCAGCCTCCTGGAACACATGACAAAAATCAATTGATAGCATTATGTGCATGCTATACTACAGTATACATTATATTGCTTTAAAAATTATGAAACCGCTAATGGTCTCCATTACAATGTCTGGAAATTTCACACTATTTTTCATTAAATTTCGTGAAAGATGACTGCTTTAATGAGGGAAAGGGGGAGAGCAGAATTTCTTGTCTGGAGTTCAGGATTACACCATTCTTGAGATTAAACAGGCTTACGCTAGTGACTCCATAGATGAATGCTCTTCGGGCTAGAGGTCCTGGCCCGTCAACAGTCTTGCCATCATCCTCAGGTCCCCATGAAGCGCTATAGATATCAATATGTTCTGGGTTCAGACCGAGGGCTCTGGCTTCCACAGCATCATTCACTGTACCGTCCAACATGCGGACACCTAAACAGCGCAATGGAAAGTCCTAAGTGAGTAGAGTTTGATCTGGGAGTGAAGGTATGGGATGCTGACAGAGGTTATGTTGGGGGTTATAGCAGCAGCAGCGGTGATGACGGGAACAACAACAAGAATAATTATGTTAAATTATTTATTTTCATGTATTAACTCAGGAGCAACAGGAACCAATCACAAAGTTAGCATAATCAGGAAAATGGAATGTAAAGGACAACACACATGTGTAGGGGAAGTAGCATACAAATAAGACAATAGTGCAGGACAGTTATAACAGCAGTGAACGTAACACACTACTCTAACTACCCATTAAAAAATTCAGCTACAGATTAATATTAAACTAAAGATTGTCAACTATACTGCTGTTGTTACAGATTTCATTTGTGGGTAAGGCACGGCGAATGGAGGAGGGGGGGCATTTATAACGTGAAAACTAGGTACAGAAGTCCCTTATGTGTCTGGCTGATAGTAACAGCTTTTAAAGTTAGGGGCAAGTAATACAATTGTAATATAATAATAATTCAATTCAATTCGTGTTTATTTTTGTGCAAACTTAACAGCACAAAAGCCAATAACAAAGTTGGCACGAGTACATAGAAATACAGATATAACTAAAAAACAAAATAAAAATAAGACAGTTTATATAATGGCATTAAATTAATAATAATTCCAAGAAAAATTAAAGATAGCATTAACAGGTGAGAAAAATAAAATAAATACATTTCAAATGGTTATTCCATTAATTCAATTAAATTCGTGTTTATTTACATGCAAACTTAACAGCACAAAAGCCAATAACAAAGTTGGCATGAGTACATAGAAATACAGATATAACTAAAAACAAATACAAATATGACAGTCTATATAATGGCATTAAATTAATAATAATTCCAAGAAAAATTAAAGTTAGCATTTACATTGAGAAAAATAAAATAAGTACATTTTGAATGGTTATTCCATTATGTGGTGAGAAAGGACAATACATACATACACACATAGAAGTTAATAATAATAACCTAATTAATTCTTATTTATTCGTGTGGCAGCTCAACATCCTAATTCAATTCAATTCAATTCATGTTTATTTATGTATAACTTAACAGCACAGAGGCCAATTAAAAAGTTAGCATGAGTACATAGAATTACATAAAAATAATTAAAAAACAAATACAAAATTTGAGAGTATACATAAAGACAACAGATTAATAATAACTCCAGAAAAAAATTAAAGTTAACGTTAACAGGAACAACAACAACAACAACAACAACAACAACAACAACAACTGCAACAACAACAATAGCTCATTAAATTCCCATTTTTAAAGTGTTGAGCAACAATGAGGAGACTATAAGAGATAATCACAAAAACAAACAGGGGCAATAGAATTTAGACAAATATTAAGTATCATCAAGAAGAAGACAAATTATAAACAGCAGAAGTAGTACTGCTGATGGTAGTGCTAGTGGTCGTGGTAGTAGTTGTGGTAGTGGTCATGGTAGTAGTTGTGGTAGTGGTCGTGGTAGTAGTTGTGGTAGCAGCATCATTAGTGTCGCGTGACGGGTTTTCATGTTTCTTACTTATTTAAAGACACTCAGCATTATTAGGATTATCAACTGAAAGAAAATGAAATGGAGGCGACATGCGGTTCGAACACAACTGATGTGACATCATTCCAAATTTTAATGGGACAAAATGAAAAGAAGAGATCACTTGAGAAAGAGATATAGACGGGAGGGTGTGGACTGAATTTAGGTTCCGGTTCCTGGTTCTAATGAAGACGGCGAACACAGATTCAGTCCACAGTTGGGGCACTTTGCTCAACAGTCGTTCAGTCGGTTGGCGGTCGGCTTTTCATGACTTGGCGTCAACATAAACCGAGCCTGCAGCTTCAAAGCAGCCTTGCTTGATAAATGAGCTGTTCATTTCCGCCATTCGTTGCACGTTTGTTAGTGTAATTATTTTGCTGTGAGTATATGCTTATGCTGATCCGCGACAAGACAAAGCACTAAACAAGACGTATCTCTTATTGGGAATTATATTAGGAGGAAACCGTTTTGTGTCAAATGTTAAGTTCGTCGGCAGTCACGAACACATGTCAGTGGGGATACTGAAAAATCCACACGTTATCCGCCAATCCCGATACACGGCCCCAAAATTGGCGTGTACTGTTCCGTAAATGACAGAAGAATTATATTTCGCATTTTCGTTCACGAGACAGTAAATTCAAAAGGGTAGGCGAAGGAAATTTTGGAGACCGTATTCGAAGAAGGAACCAAAGCAAAGAAGGTACCATGACAATGATCCGACATACACTGCAGGTACTACTTTACGTGTTAACTGAACGCTGAATTAGGAGACCACCACAGCCGCCATCTTCCCTGGATCTGGATGTGTGTGGTTTTTATCTGTGGTGAAACTTGAAACAATATTTACAGAAACAACCAACGCGGAACATTATGCCAAAAGCACGGAGAGAGAACTTCGTATGTCAAAGAATGTGCCACGTCGATGTCGCAGAACACCGCTTTCAGCAGCTGCCGACATTTTTTCGAGCGCCTACGAAACTTCCATTTTGACACTTCGGTAGCGGAGGAAAACAAACATGGGGCAGAGTGTCGCGGTAACGAGGCTGTACGCAAAGGAGGAGGGGGGGTATTCTTGACTTGGTCTGAAGAGAACCTCTGCCCTGCGCAGTTAGTATAATGTTCTGAAGTCAGATAGAGAAACGGTATAATTAAATATTCTACATTTACTCAGAGTCGATACAAAATGGAGTGGACAACTTAACGCTCGGGCCACTTAACCCCCAAAAAAGACAAATAACCACTGGAAAGGAGGGTGCGTGATCCCCCCGGGGCGGTGTTGAAGCGGTAGAAAATAGAAACATCCCTACACCCGTCGGGAATCGAACACGTCATCCCTGTGCAACATTTCATGACGATATATGTGGGGGAGGGGGCGGAGGTAAGGTTCCAGTATTATTAACATTGGCTTCAGGAGCAGATATGTATATAATCAGCTTCATGCTCCGTTCGCTTTATCTCCGGAGAAAGCGATTGTATTGTCACGTTTTAGAGCGTGACTATAGACGGGGTTTGGACTGGTGAGTGGATTTATTGACCACTTACACACACGACAAGGCACTACAAGCAATCACAGCACCACCACTAATCTCTAAAATTCACAAATCACCACACCACCCGCTAAGCCTTTTTTCCAGCCTGCTGTGTTTTCTCGAGCCGTTTCCTGGCAACTGCTTCTAATAGTGGAGATTCTTCAGGTTCACGCGCTCAGATCCTCTTCACAGCTCCCAGTGGAGAAATCAACTGAAATAACTAAGTCAAAGTCAAGTCAAAGTCACATTGCCACTGACGGCCACTCAGTTAGTCAAATTAACAAAACTCCAAACCTCCCGGTTATAACATCTCGGCACGGCCCACATAGAAAACACAGTTCTATTGTTGTGTTCGTGTATGTTGATGGCGTTACCTGGTAAGGGCCGCTATTTACATAGTCATCGCTTAGCACGCTACCTGTCATCCCTTAGAGAGATTTATGATAACAAGTGTCATGTTCCATTTAACTGGAACCGGTGCAAAAATAATTAGCAATGCTTCCAGAGCATAAATTGATCTTATTTTTCAAACATAATCATTACCAGCTGACTCAAATCCAACCACCAGACAAGCAGTTTTGTGCTACACAAACCCGCTCGGTCAATTTACTATAGACGACCCATGTCCTTAAACAATACAAAATTTCCGATTTCGATCTGAGTTGAAATTTGAATAGGCACCGCATAAGAGTCTTATTTTCCAGCACAAGGGTCCCTTATGAAAACCAAATTTTTTCGAATGGTAAAGTAGGTTAAAGCAACAATCGACGAGCAGGCAGTGTCGCGGAGATTGGAAATCCTTTTCAAGTATTCGAATATGAAAATAGAAGAAAGGCTCTTCAATGCGACCGACCGTCGACCTGAAATCAATATTGGTTCGCGAGGAAGCAGGCCAGAAAAATTGTACCCTTTCTTTCCACTCCTAAACATCGACAGTCCAAAAGCGAAGATATGAAATATGTTTCGTGGTCAACTTCTAGAGTTTTTTTAAAAGAAATCAGCCCAAGGAAAAAGAGGTCTGAATGCGGCAATATGTCATGTTATTGATGCACGTTATCGAGGGAGCATCGTGCGTCTTTATGAGTGACAGTAACACAATTCAGTGTTTGTTTCGCAATGCTGAATCAGCTGCAGTTCTTCCACAACGAAGCTCGCTTAAATTAACCAATTATCTGTTGTGATAATGACATCTTATCTGGGTCTGTTTCATCGATCGTTTTCCTGGCTCTGTATTTTCGCTTCTGTTAAAGCCGACAGCTCCGTTTAAGGCCTCTACTGTATTCTCCCAACTAAAGACGAGTTACACCGCATAATGTTGGACTTGACCTGAGGACGATGACTATGAAGAGGACTGTCTTCTGGAATGTGACGTATTGTAGTCGAGTGGAAATTCGGCAGAACGTACCGCTTCCATCTTCAGGGTCGAACTAATCAAAGAGCAAGAAGCTAGCAACAAACTGATACTGAATTGGCGTGAAAGTGTAGCGGACTACACGGCGTCATATCCCGAAAGTACTCTTCGTAGATCAGATTAAATTAGATTAAATTCGTGTCCATTAGAGGGCCCCTTCATCGCGAATATCTAAATGGCCACGTAAGTTGAGGGGGGGGCAATCAAAATGTGCAAGGCCCTGTCAGTAAAAATAAATTTAGGTTACGTACTACGAGTCGGTATAGCGACGGGCTAGGGCCTTGACGGCCCGGGTTCGATTCCCGGGAGAGTGGGATTTTTCTCTTCTTCACAGCGTCCAGACCTACTCTGGGGCCTACCCAGCCTCCTCGCCAATGGGTACCGGGGCCTCTTTGCCCGGGATAAAGCTGCAAGGGCGTGAAGCTGATCACTCACTTCCATCTAGTGCCGAAGTCAAGAAAGGT